TCATGTAATTCACCAACTCACTAAAAAGGAAAGCGAGCATTTTGGAGAATTTTTAACTCATTAAATATTTTGTGTCAAAATATCGTGAATTTCAAAAGTAGACTTTGGCTTTTGGGTTTCGAAAACTCATTTTCTAGAAGAAAAATGTTCGAGTAATTCTGTTCTAGGGAAAGCGCTAAGCAACTAATCACTGAGAAGACAAAGTAGTGAAGACAGCCTTTGTAATGCATTAAGACAACTCAGTAGATTATAAACGTGTTTTTTACTATTTTTCAATACCGACAGTCCCGTAGCACTAAGCGGAGTCCGTACACAAAACACTCAAGCTTGCTATTGCAGAACCAGCCGTGCAGTTTTTACCACGCCGCAAGGTGTAAAATATTAGGGCATTTTTAACATCCGTTTGCAGGCGTTCCACACTTATACATGTGATATATAAACATATGTGCATATTACACAGCAGCCATTCACTGCCTACCCTGGTACTACATGACGTATGAGCGACGTAGGAATTATAGAGATTGTGTGCCGGCAATCGGCTCGAACGATAGCGAGTTTATTGTTTTCGTTGTGAATTTTCACCATTTTGTGTTTTTCATACTTATTCTATAACAACACACAGTTATGTGCACACATGTAGTTGCGTGCATATACATGTAAGGGTGCATAAGCTATCTCATACTTGGCGCTTCTCTTCAACGAAAAATTTATAAGCGCTAATAATTTTTTTCACTACTTTTGTTTTTATGGTTGTTTGCTGTTCTGGCTTTACCTAGCGTATGGAAATTGCTAAATTGACCGTGACTTCAATCTGTTTTGCATAAATTGCAGACAATTGATTTTCATAACGAGTAAACTGGTAGTAAAATACACCAGCAAAGTTGAAAGTAATTGCCGACGTGTGTGGCGGAGTGGCTTTTGGAACAGAGGATATCAGGTTATATGAAGTTTGGCACACTTAAAGCCGCAGCGAAATACGCAATCAACTTTAAGTACGCTTGGGAAAACATATTTACATAAAAATTACTTAAAATTAAGTACGCATGTGTGCCCACTGTAGGCGTTAAAACAACGGTTAGCTGAATTTATCAAGTTAGGGTGATGTTGTAGAAGGAGTACAGTAAGTAAGCCACGCATTCAATCGAAAAGGTCTTAAGTTTATTATTCATTATCTGTATGCCCCGCCTATTCTAACGTCCTTGTATAAGAACTAATTTCATTCAGCCGAAATTTTTGGCGGTGAATGCCAGTTGCTGCCTCCGCTAATGTTTCGCCTGACCTCAATTTCTTTGGACAATTGCTAGCTGTGTGTTGTACTTGAACTTTGCCAGCGGTAGCCTGCATGAAATGCTGTGTTCATAGTAGTTTAAAAGTGTGTGTGTGTGTGTACCTTAAGCCTCCTATTAGCTGTGCCCTGTTGACCTTGACTACTTGGCCTTAAATATGCAATTTGACGGAAATTATAGACATTTGGCGTGAAATTTCCGCATATTGAACTTTTGAAATGTTGCTGCCATTAAATTACATGCCATACAGTTGCTCGAAAGTATGCCCCATTCAAAAGAATGTTGCGCATGTATAGTTTTAAGCACGTGTACCAGGCTACTTTGTATTGGAGGAAGTGGCACTAATTTGGCAATGCATAATATCTATCTATCATGCTATCGAGTATAAATTTGATTTTTTCAGTTTTTTACTAACACCTACACATCAATGACGTGTCCGTTTAGTGTTAATTTCCTCACCTATTTCGAAGGCAGTGTGCAGCTATGACGTTGCTACATATGTAGCGTTGTTTGTGCATAATAATTATATATCTCATTGACACAGCAATTTTGCGGTCAAAGCAATTATGCGCTATTTTAAATTAACTGAGAAAAAATTTGAATTCGTCGTGGTCAACACGCTACTTGAGTGGGAAATTGAATTTAAGTGTGTTTTCCTTGAAAACTTAAAGGTCATGCATTTTTGAGTACAATTCAAATTGAATTACAAATGAATTTTTTCATACTGAAAAATATAAATTTTTTGGAATTTCATTTAATACTAATATAATATTTTAAATTTGGTGTTAATTAATTTAATTCTTTATTTAGTTTTAGTTTTAATTAAATTTTGTTATTAATTTTAACTTTAAATTTGTTTTTATTTTACTCTTATTTTGCTATAATGTTGTTTTGAAGTAGTTTTGGTTTTAATTTTAATTAATTCATTTTATTTTTATACTCTCGCAACAAAGTTGCTAAAGAGAGTATTATAGTTTTGTTCACATAACGGCTGTTTGTAAGTCCTAAAACTAAAAGAGTCAGATATAGGGTTA